TCATCATCATAATGTGCAAAAAGCAAATCCCAGGCATGCTTGCCTTCACTCAAATTCACGAAAGATTAAATACCAAAGAAAATTAATCCTGGTGTCAAATCACAGCAGTATGGCAAGTGTTCAGGAGGAGGAATTTGGCTAGGATCTAAATGGAATAAAATGCTCCTGCCCATGCATACATCTCGTTCTGACATACCAGAAAGCAGCAAGAACAGCAGCAGTCCCCACAGTGATGCTAAACATCTTTGGCTACTTCTTGCATTTTGAGGAGGGGGCAAAACCTCTGTTACTATGACCTGGGATAAGGACCTCTGCAACAATAGGGAGGAAAGGGACTATAGTATGGGGTGAATACACCTCCTGTCTTTGAGGCATATAGCAAAACAGCAGCAGCAGCTTTTTGCCAAGAAAGCTGGACACAGGAAACAAGTCCATAAACAAGTTTTGTCTGTGGCACTTTACAACAGCATTAGAAACAATTTAAGTATACTTACGTACTGACTTACAGCACATACAAACTGACTTTTATCTCTCCCTAAGTACTTATGAGGAAGTTTTTGGTTTGTTTTTTTTTTTTTTTTTCCCCCCCGCAATTCCTAGCTAGGCTGCTGCCTAAATGAGGTTTGGGAGAAAGATCATAAAGTTTATGCCTGCATCTTCTCTGCAGGTACAATATGGATCCAGCAGCCAAGTCACTTGGGAGGCAGCTTTTTGGTAATCGGAGCAATCTGTACTTTCTCCTTGACTTTCCCTGGTGACAAGAATTCTTGCACTTCTTCCAGCAGCTGATTCAAAAGAGAGGTTGGTCCCATGTTACACAGAAGCAGCGTTTAATAGCTATCCTAACGCAACTAAAAGGTATGAGCTTCCTCCCACAAAAGACCAATGTTTTTGAATCTCCTCTCCACATAATGAATTAGAAAGGGCCAAAAATCTTAAGATTGCTCCTGGGCTTTCTTTAAGAGACTTGGCACTGGTTAAAAGTGCTCCAATAACTTATCAGGAGCTTGCTATCCATGATTCACTTCCATGATTTTTTCATATCATCAAAACATAGGCAAAAATCCAATAAAACTAGGTAAAATATGTTCATGTTTCAGTAATTCTGGCAATCTTTCCTAGTCCATATAAACCCATAGATGCAACCAGCTGGGGAGAAGGTATTAGTTCTCAATCCATGCCTAGTTCAAGGTGACTTTTTTGGAGATAATGGAAAAATTATGTGACTTCTTCAGGACCACAAGAAAATAATGACCTGACATCTCATCCTACTTCTCTGATAAAACTCTGATACTCAAGGAGTATATCAAATATTGACTTTACAAATTGTCTGACAATCAGGTTACAAGTGAGCTACTCAGTAGTATCTTGATCTTTTCTGGTCTACATAGAAATAAAAACTCTGTAAGGTTATGAAAAAGTCCTTGCAAGAGAGGAATCTAACACAATAGGTTTATTCTCTCTTCTTTTAAAATATAACCAGCCGGGTTCCTATAGCTCACTTAACTCTGTGATCACTTGCCTATCAAGACAGGATAAGCTAACCCAACACAAGTATCCAAGAAGTCTATTCAACCTGACCTGCACCAGGGAATTAACATGGGGAATACAAAAAAGCCCCTGAAAACTGTTCTCTAGAAGGTTCCCAATACTAATGCAAGAAAGTATGTAGACATCTACAGCAGAAATCCACACAGAAAACGTCTGCAATAAAACTTAACAAAATGCTAAAGCTAAGTTTTCTCTTGTCTGTGTAGAGTTTACAGTAGGAACGTGTTAGATGAGAAAACAGAAAAATGTAGCACAAACCAGGGGTAGTGCTGACAAGAGCAAGGCAGCTATGACCAAGACTCTGTACACTCCACTATTCAAAAGACCCTGATTTCTGCAATACACACTTTTCACATCTCCACAGGAAAGCAAAAAGTCAGTCAGCAAAAATATTGAGCTGGTTAGTTGGTCAGCTTTTAAGTAATACTTTCATTAATACCAATTCATCGTGAAAGGTGCCATAATGCATTTGACAGAATCCCTGAATAATAAGTAAAAGCTACTATTAATAATATTGACTAGTCATGGCCCCTAGACACCCAGCTATCATTATTCAGCTCAGGTGGTGACGTTGCACAGAAGCTTCATCTTTCCAGAACCCAGGCTGTCACATGCAGTCCCAGCTCTCTTCATTCTCTGTTCCTGTGAGTGAAGGTAAGTCATGAGACAACAACCACAGAGAAAGTTGCGTTACGGGCAACCCCAGCACGGGATGTTACGCCAAAAGGAATCCCAGGATGGTCTGCAGCTGGGGCCACATGGAATTGCCTCGGCAATGCTGCAAGATGGATGCCCATTTTCATAACCTTCCTTCTGCAATCCTACTCCATCTTTCTCATATAACACTCCTCGCATCCTTGAAGTGAAAGACATTTGCCAAGGACCTGAAACACAACAGTGCAACTTCTAGCTCTCACATACCTTCGCTAGTCATGCCGTCAAAGATCCGTGACAGCAGCTCTAATGAGCCAGAAGAGCCCTCACATTCAGGGGGCAGCAGCAAAAAAAGAGCACGTTCTTCCCTTGAGGTGATCCCTCGTGAGGTGAAGGCAGTAGCGAAAGGTAGCGGCAGCCAAGTTGCAGAGGAGATGATAAAATGTCAGACTCCTGGCAGTACAAAATGGCAGCTGAACCCTGGCAAAATGCCAAGCTGTTCTAACAGTGAATTGAGGAGTACACGGGGCCATAATTATGATTAGCATAATAAGAGAGTGGTACAACAGCTACCTAGTTACTCTGAAGGGTCATGGAGAAATCATAACAAAGCAAAGTTTTAAGGACAGACACAAAAGAAAACAATGACGTAGCTGCTCGGTGGGTTTTACCCGGAGGTTCTTCCATGCGTGAAGTGCGGCCCCGGGAGAAAGTACAAAGACTGTTTAAGAGATCAGGCTCTGAATCAAGAGCAGCCAGCCGTGCCTGCAGAACTCGAATGGCTTCACAACGTATAAAAGATCATACGAAAAGTGTGACACTGAAGACAAAGGATCTGACGAGAAAAGTAGACTGTTTGTGTAAATTTGAATAAAACCTGGGCTCAATAGAGTCAGTCAAGATTTTTGTCCTTTCTAACCAGAAAAGACTGTTTTCTCTTTTCCTCAAATGAAGCAGAAGAGATAAAAATATAAGAAAATTTAACAAACAAAATCTGAACATTCTGATATTTGCATTTTTTCATTTCGAATGTCATATAAACAATATTTACAGATCCATTCCTTCATGCAATTAGCCAGCTGCCTGGGTGAAATTAATCAGTTGTAATAGAAATATTAAACACTGAGTTTCAGACTTAAAGCTATATGGATGTGAAAATTTCTAGATTCACTGTACTTTGTACATCTGGAGGAATTCATAGACAGAGCTGAAGTTTAAAATCAAAAGTTCTCTTTATGAATAGAAAAATCAGAGTTTTCACTGATATCTGTATTCCACATAAGACACTGAGAATCTGTGTGTAAAAAAACACCCTTATTTAGTAGGCACAGTCTGGTCCTCCATGAACAGAAATTTTACTGTTTGCACATTGTCACCTCCCTTTTTCCCTATGCTGCTTCTGTTTCTCCTATTAACCTTTTCCTTTACCACAGACATCAAGAACCTTGTGTACACAAAAAGGCAAGGTCAACTCCTTCCCATACATGATAACCATATGCTGTATCCCAAGCATCATCCATCAAAACGATCTAAGTTACAACCTAATACTGCCTTTAAGATTCTCTACCTCATTTGTTATCATATGATATCAGACAGAATATCAATTGAAGATGTGCCTTTTAGATTTTAGAGGCTAATGCAATTGGATTGGTAAAAACCCTACCCTTGCTTTCAAACATCGTTTTTTCCCCTGTCTAAAATCCACAAAGTCACGTGTTTCTTCTATCTTTGAAAACAAACAAAACCCAACCACAACCCTTGGCATCTGTCTATTTAACTGACTTCTTTCTAGGCACCTCTGTCTACACTGACAGGAAGGAAACCCACCTTTAGAATGTCATAAACTTATGGCTTCCAACCACAGGTGTCCCCATATTCTTCTTCTCAGACACTGAAATATTTCTACTGTCATAAATCCTTCCTGACAGCAGTATCTGACAAACATGATTTCAAATTATGCTTCTTCTAGCTTAATCACAGCTTTTTATATACACTAACAGACTTAGACACACACTGGTGTAAGCTAAGCTCAGGGACATATACCTAAGGCACACATCCTAATTCTCACTTGCAGTGCTCATTGTTAACCATTGTAACACCTAATTGAAACAATTTATCCTGTAAAAGTTCACCAATCAGTAACATATTTCAGAACATAAATTCAGAGAAGCATACACTAATTTTCCCAGTTAGGACAGTTGCTTATTAAACTTCCTGTTAATAAACCCTGTATTTTAGACCATTTTAAAACCATTTGTTCTCAGAAATAGGTGTGTATCTAATGCAACATACTTACAAAGAAAAACAAGAATCAGCATCTCTCTTGCCCAGCAATTTTGCATAAATGACTATATACAAAGTAGTGAGAGGAAAAAAAGATATGCTAGTGTTAAATACTATTAGGACTGAAGAAGCAAGAGAACATCCTCTACTTGCCTCTCAAATGCAGATTCTAAAATGCTGACTTGTAGTGATTCTTAGTTCTGGATTTTGTTGCTGTTCTCAGTTAAATGCATTACAATCACAGAACATGTGTCAGCAAGTAGTGGCAAGCAAGATATTTGCTCTTTAAAAAAACTGTACTTTGATAGCAATGAAAAAAATTCACAACTGCTATTTCTATATTAAATACCTGTTTGTAATGGAAGGACAAACCCAGGAGTTTTTGTAACCTCCAGCTCACCCATCCTGTAACTCAGGAATAAAACAATAACAAAAACTAATCAACTGTCAGACTGAAATGTTCAAACTAGTAATCCTGACTTGCTCATTTAAACGAAAGATAAGTCACTTACAGAACTGGATGAACAATCAGCTCTGGACTATATGATTTGATTACTGTTGCTGCATCTTTGGTACAAAACACATGGGATAAATCTGCACCCTAAAAAAGAAAATTTGCAAACAGAATTATCAGATTTATACTTAATAATAACTTTATCATTGCAAAGTTCACTCAGTGAATAATTCACCTGAATTCTTATTTCTCAGTAGTTAAAGCAAACTTTATTATTTTTTTCTATTTGGGCTTAGACTCTATGCAATGTTTTGGAGAAATTTTTTTGTCTCTAACTTCCAATATATTTTTTTTTCCTGTTTCTCACTGATAGTATGACTGAAAACACAGATCTTGAACTTTTACTCACTTGAGAAATGTTTCTCATTTGCAGATGAGCAAAGACTAAAATGTCACACATGCAGTAAGAAGAAAGGCAAAAGAACACAGCTGAACAAGAGACAAGCTACATTAGAGAGGAAAAATACTACTATAATATACTTGCCAAATATAGCTGTGGCAATCTATGAGTACATTTCCAGTCCTACCATTTTTACTCAATGGGCCAAATCCATACCAGATAAAAGGTATTGCTGAAATTGTGCCAGCCTTTAAGTTAAATATACAATAAATCCAAGGAGTTTAGCCTCAAGCTTCTGTTATGAACTCAAAAAATCAGACACACACACAAAAATTATGTAAGCAGTGACCAGAAAGCTTGATCTTGTATCCCTCTTGGATACTGAAATTTCCCAAGGTTAAGAAAGTGTCTCTTCTGCTTTACTACTATACATTTAACATTTCAAGCTACTAAGCAATGCAGAGATTTGATCCTATGACTCTTTACATGCAGATGTAATCATCTGAGTCCAAGTGACTTCAACAGGGGACCATCTAGTATGCTACTGTATTTGTGTGTATTTTATTCCAGAGAATAAAAGCTGGCTCGTCTTAATATCTTACGTCAGATCATTAAATAATATCATTTCAGTTTAAAATCCTTGAGGGATTGCATCCCGGGGTGGGGGAGAAGAGGTAGGTGTGGAAATACTTGGATTGGTTACCTACTTATTGAAACAAATCTTCAAAAAGAAAAACATACACAGTGAACTGAAAGTACTGACACACTATATATAGAATACTGAAAAGTATATGTATGATATAAGTGCGATTTGTTTACATTTGAATAATCACCACTGTCTTGATGTAGTCCGCAGTAAATACATTTTTAGCCAGTTAATATGTCATTAAAATATGAAAGTTTATACTTCTAGGAAAAAAGAAAGCTTAGAAAATACTTCTGCTAAAGATTATAATATAAATAAAATGTGCTATTAAAATTAAATTGAACTAATAATCTTCAGACTTACAACACATAAGAATTTTACTAGCCTAAAGCTGTAAGTTTTGAAGGAAAGTTACTTCGTTCAACACACTTATCAGGTTCAGAAAAAATTTCTAAAGAACTGACTGCAGCACTGAAAACATAACTTTAAAAATTGATCTAAAGTTATTTTATTGTTCACTGTTGGAGAAAATATTTCATCAAGTTTTGAAATTTCCTATCCAAGTCTCTGAAACTTTGTATTTTTTTACATATGTCTACCTTATACAGAGAAAATATTTACAGAAAACACAGCACATGACACATTTACAAAGCATTTCTACAAATCCAGGAATAAGGATTTTCTTTGTTAAACAGAAGACCCTTTAGAACTCAAATTTCATGGGCAGCACAGAACGAATGCTTTGAAAAAATGGCGCTTAGCCAATATAAATGATGGAAAGTTCATTTTGGATTGGTATAGAAGAACACGTACCACTTTGAGAGCTGTAATTGCAGCAAAATACGGTGCTCCAGTGTATCTAGAATGAAATACAATTTAGGTTAGGAAACAGATTCATGAGATCGATAATCTGGAAATCAGCCTGCAATAATGAAGTCCCAAATTCAAGAGCAAATTTTTAAAAAAGCTTTCTCTTTTGTTTGCTGTAAAAGAGAGATCAAAACTTGCTATATGAAGCCAATCTCAAACCTTGCTTTGATTTCCATGGCACAGGATTTCACTTTAGCCACCTAATCCTTTCATAGAAGCATTTATAAAGATCATGCCATAAACAAGCAAACTCTTCTCAGACAACCAACTTTAAAAGTTTAGAGACAAACAAAACAAAACAAAGAGTTGAGCACTGTTTGCAAGCCAAATCTGGGATCTGTGACCTGGATCAATCCCATCTGGTTTTAGATGCTTAACTGAAGTGTGTAAACTGTGGTTCCAGTTGCCCTAAATTCTCTTTATGAAAACTTGAGAGAGACAGACAGAATCACCCTCCAGAGGTGCCTACTTCTGCCAAGAGGTAAGAACCTAAGCCCATTAGACCAACATGAAAACTAACTGCTGGCTAATCAACCCAGCTATAAGACAGCACCTTTTTGCTCCTTATAGAATGTTTATTAATGGCAGATGTCCAATAGCAGATCTTTTTTTACAGGAGAAAGATGCCATCTCTATTTCAAAAGGGGAAAATGAAAAATATTCAAAGTATTGTGCAGATTACTGAACGTGGCCAAGAAAAGAGCCCATTTTATTTCTAGGTCAGTACAGCACTTCGCTGATTTATGCTGTATCTCTTTTTTTCCCAAAACATGCTATTTCTATTTTTCCAGACCATAAAACAAAGTATTGACAGAATCTAGTAAACACCACAATTTATCAAAATAAAAAGCACACAGTAAGAAAATATTCTATTCCTGATTTAAGAGATCTAGCTCCCAAGATACCAAAATATTAAAAAAAGAAATAAAATCAGATGTGCCACTGTCTTACTCTATAACTTCGTCATGCAATGGGAAAAGACTTAACACTGAAAGCAGAGAGAGTCTGGTGGTCAAAAAAGACAGAGAAGGTAGACACAGATAAAAAAAGCATTCTAAGTTTCAACCACATTCACTACCAAAATTTTGCAACACAATTTCAGGGAAGTATGTTCTTTCATAAGTAAGCACGGTCTTGATGATGGGTTAGTAAAGCTCTCTGGAAAATACTCATTTTAAATATAAGGTGAGTTTGAAGGCTTCTACAAGTACTTACGACATCCTCAAACTCTCTTACAAACAAAAATCAAATTTCTGTTTAACTTACTCTTGACATCCTCCAACAATGCCTATACGTCCATCTTGACCTTTATGCCTTTTCCCTGTTAGAGGGGGGATAACATTGCGCACCAGTTGAAAAATGTTCTCCATATCCTTTAGAGAGTGTGTTCTGTGCAGTGAAAAAGCTCTCTCTATAACTGAAAAGAAGAAAATAAGTGTTACTTTAAAGTATGTTCTTTCCTAAACCACCATCAGCATTTCTTTAAGCACTCATGAACACTAATAAAATCACCCAAAGATACACAAAGTGACATACTTCTAAAAACCAAATGCTTTGTCACTTAAAGGCCTTTAAGCCAGTGAGTAACTAGGGAAGGTGATTGTAACTAGGGAAGATGAATTTAGGGTCTGATGCAGAGAATATTCCCACTGACTGCTCACAGTCCTAATTTAGGGCTCAGGTACAGAAAGAAACAGCAGCCCAGAATAGTTATATGAACATTTTGTAACTAGAAATATCTTAGTTCAGCCTGAAATCCCTTCAATAATTAAGCTCAACTGAAATAGGTACACTTGGTAAGGACTAAACACATCCAAACACAGAGCAACTAAAACCACGTTTTAAATGTACACCCTACCTTATTTTTTGCTCCCCCTTAAAGACTTCCACCTCTTAGAAGTATCAGGGCCTATCTCACTGCTTTTTTATTTTGGCAGGTGGTTACAAAGCATAATGTAAGTCTTTCTCCAAAACTATAATCCAACACACTAGAGGCAAACAGTACAAACATCACACAAAGATCATTTTTAGCTATAATACAACTACAGATCTCTGATACAAAGCTACATGTCGTGCTACACATTAAAACTGCACTCAGAAGGCTATATATTGAAATTACTGTTTCAAAAGACTACAAACATTTAGAAGAAAAAAGTATTTCAGCAATTACAACTAAAGAGGTAAACCATTTACCTAACATGGGACAAATTTGAAGATCAGTACTTCTATCAACAATGTGTTTAACTATAAATTGCAGTAAATACACTAAAAGAATAAGTTCTTATATTTCAACAAAGCTCCTCATTAACTGTACAATTCTGGTCAGAAAAGTGGTTTATTTGAATGTCAGTATTAGTCTCCTAGACCGTAGCTATGCTTACTTTCTATTTTACAGATCTTCTCAAAAGCTGTCAAGGCACTTTTGTATAGTAATACATAATTATATAAAAAATAACTCCCATGACACTCCTTATTTTCAGCTGTATAAAATTTAGTAATCCCACACTCCAACTCCAAAACCTAGTGGGGCGGGGGGGGTGG